GGGCCACTGGTCAGTCAGAGAGGTCTGGAGACAGTGTGACTGAATTACACTTCTGCTGCTGTGTGGCTGCTGTGATATGCCATTGAGTCAGTTCTGAATAGGGTTTCTGAGGAATGGCTAGTGAGTTTGAACTGCCAACCTTGCCGTTGTTATGTGCCGTGGAGTTCGTTCTGACTCATAGCGACCCTGTACAGGGTTTCCGAGGCTGTAAATCTTTATGGAAGCAGAAAGCTTCATTTTTTTCTCCCGCGGAACAGCTGGTAGTTTTGAACTGCTGACCTTGCGGTTCGCAGCCTGATTCGTAACCACTACGCTACCAGAGCTCCTTAACCTTGCTGTTAGCGTGCTTATTTTACAGTGCCATACCAGTTGTTAAGTGCTGTTGAGTCGATTTTGACTCATAACAACCATGTATAGGGTTTCCGAGGAGCGGTTGGTGAGTTTGAACTGCCAACCTTGTGGTTCAAACCAGCCTTTTGGTCCAGTGCTTATCCTGCAGCGCCACACCATTCCACAGAACAACCCTGCAGACATTAACCCACAAGGTAAGCACATGATTACTAGAGCAAAATATAGAGGGTCTTTCTAAAAAAAAAAACAAAAAAACCTACCCCCACAAAGGACAGGGTTCTCACATTTATTTGGGAGGGACTTTTATCTACTTAAAGGATCCTCGGTGGTGCTGTTAGGCACTGGCTAGCAGTTCAAATCCATCAGCAACTCCTTGGGAGAAAGATGAGACTTTTTGTCCCCATCAAAAGTTATTCTCAGAAAGCCTACATGGGGTCACTATGACTCGATGACAGTGAGTTTTCTTTTTGTTTTATCTGTTTGGGATCAGTTTCTCTCACAAACAGTGCCTTGCTCTGTGCTCAAGGAACTTTCATGTTTGGCAGACTCAGGGCATCACCGGGATTGCACTCTGGCCGAAACCGTGACGAGCTTTTCAAGCTTCTTCCTGAGTCTTTAATTTCGGGAGCAGAGCAGGCGCGTGATGACAGATTGGGGTGAAACAAGAGCCTAGGACCTGTGGTCATTGTTTAGTAAGCCTCCCTCCCTCCAGTCCCCACACCCTGAACTAAGAAAGGACAAGTGTGGCTTGAAATGGCTTTGAAACTGCATGTGTGGCCCTGAAGGATGGTGGCCCTGTGTTCTCTGGTGGATGGATCCATGGGGCCAGAGCTACACCATGCGCTCAGCTGCATGTGGTACAAATGGACATCTTCACACATAGGCAGGTGATAAAACTGTATACCAGCCTTGACTTTCTTTCTGCTCCCCTTTTTTTACAGTGAAATGCAAAATGGAGGAGGATGAAGCGGCCGCAGCTAGGCTGCCAGCACCGTAATCCTCTCCAGCCTGAACTCCAAGCGTCCCATGCAAGTAAACGGTCCAAAGCATGCTTCCATCAGTGTGATCCCTTGAATGTTAAGACTTGGTACATGAGGAGGCAGAATCTTTCCCACAGTATCATTTGTCAGAAACAAAGTGCTATCCTCTTAACTTTCAGCAAAAAAATCCAAAACTGTCATTCTTTCACCCAGAGATTTCCTTCTTGCTTCTGGAGGTTCTGTCTACACCAGTGAACTCCAGGTCCCAGAGATATGGAAGGGCTCTGACTCAGTTTCCCAGCTTCCTTTGCAGTGAACCCCCCAAATCTCTTCCAAAGCAGACAGGCTCTTCTTTTACTGAAAACCCAAGATGAGATATTTCAATCCAGACAATGACAGACAGGAGATCTTTGTTGCCTAGATCCTAAAATCTAGAAAGTTCTTCACCGTATGAGTCGAGTGAACATTTTTGCCTTCATTTGTGCTATGGTTTGCTGTTAACCAGCATCCTCCAGTTCACAAGGCCAAATTCAGCCTCAGGGCAGATCCGAAAACCTCTAGTGGTGTTGGGTTATTTTGACAAGCTACCACACAACCTAAGTAAATAGTACAGCTTTTATTTGGATGTTAAGAACAGCATTTTGAAAATAAAACCTATCTGCCCATGCTTTACAACCCTTTAAAATTTGTAATATGTATATATAGCCATTTATGGTACACACTGATTGTCTCAAAATTTTCTTTAACTTTTTTTTTTTAATATCAGTATATATATATATATATGTGTGTGTGTGTGTGTGTGTATATGTATGCCAACAGTCAGCCAGGGGAGGAGAAACATTATAAAACACACATTAATACATTTAATAAATATATATTATCTATGAAAAACGAGCCTGAGCTCTTTATCAATTAATAAAAAGCACCCACTGAGAACTGTCAGCTGGTATAATCATTGGATTATAAAAGCCACAATGTTTCCTTTCAACTTTCACTGAGGTTCTTCGGCCTGAGACATTCAACTCAGCCTTGGCTCAACCAATAAGTTGTTGACTGAAGCCCATGCCAAGTTGAGCTTTGTTCAGGGGGCCTTGCCCGAATCTGTCATGAAGCACAGCTTCCAACCACCGGACCTTAAAACCCAGAGACACTTGAGACACAGGGAATCTTCCAGCTTCTAAGTTCTCAGAGCGGATACTCCCACTCCCCCGCCCAGCCCTCCATATCCAGCGGACAAATCTGAGATGCAATGGCAGCTTCCCATGAAAAGGGGGGACAGAGTGGCTGTTATAGTCCCAAAGTGATTCTAAGAAGCAGACACAGAAAGATTTGTGCTTACAATTAGGTATTTCGTTCCCAGAGGCTCTCCTGCCCATCATGGCCCCCCAACAAGTCTTGGCTACAGAAACACCTTGAGCAGGGGTGTCACTTATTCTGCCTTCAAACTCGGCTCCCGGGGGAGCTGGTGTCCACCGGATGCGGGCAGAGATGGCTCTTTGTACTCTTCAGGTGAAACCACTAGAAAAAGAAGGCTCTGGCTCTTCTGCCATGACCCCGTCGCCTCCGCCACACTGGTGAGACCACCCAGATGCATAACAGAGATTTAAATGTGGGGGTGAGGGGGCCTCATCCAGTGAGTTTTCTGCTGCTTATAGATGGCTCCCTTTGTATGATGCTGATAGTCACTTCCCACTTGTCACCACTTAAGCTGCGCTCACCTTGGCTGGTGGGACAACAAAGAACTGAGAAAGCAATCATGTGACCAGCTCCCCAGGCAAGGAGGAGGCCTGTAGACTGAGTCACTGGCAGGATCAGAGAGCTCCAAAGGACTCCAGGGAGCAGGGGTGAGCAACCATTTCCTGGCACGAGAATGTGTACCCCTGTCGGTTTTCATGGATCGGACCCCCAGTGTTGGGAGATCTTACTTCCCAGAAGATGGTCTACATGCACCCACCACCCTCCCCGCCCCCACCTCAGGTCCTAGTGTCCTGCCCCCTACCCCTTCCCCAATACTGCATGTCTACAATCCACCCCAGGTGGCTTGGCACAGGACTAAAGCCGGGGTTTCTAGAAGCAAGCACATGCTCTGGGTCAAGGTGGGGGTGATTCCGGAAGTCAGGTAGGGTGGCATTCTACTGCCATGCAGTCTCTCCTCCATGCAGGGGAGGGCTCAAGGGAAAGGGAGAGCTGGGAGGAGTGGCCCTGGTAGCAGGGGCCACAGTGAGGATGGCCAGGCCTGCCTCGGTTTCCCCAGTGCCCTGCAAGGGTTGGGGCAGGGAGAGGAGGAGGGAACCCAGCAGAGACTTGGCCTTGTGAAAAATCAGAAGGTTTATTAGAACATTCTCAGCTCATTCCCCCTCAAAACACTAACCTTTTTCATTTTCTTTAGAGGTTAAAGGCTTGTGGGTTGTTTTACAGAAAAAAGCAATACAGTGATTAGAGTGTATGCAAAAGACCACCCTCAGCTATCCATTCCAAGCAGGCAGGTTAAAACCTGTTGCTAGCGATTATGCTGGCCAAACAGTGCCGAGGAGAACATGGGCTTTAATGGCTGAGATGCTGGGAATACCACACAACGAAGGAAGGAAGGATTGGCTCAGGACAGATGGAAACCATGATGGGAACACAATGGGTTTGGAGAACTATTTTCATGGAAACTGCAGAAAACCAAGATAAAAATGACCCCCCCCCCCCCCCCCCCAAAAAAAAAGCAGCAGGAAATGTCCCCTCCCTCCCCCAGAAATCCCCATCACACTTGTCCACAGAAAAATTCCCAAGGTATCTTGGGATGGCCTGCCCTGGGACATGTGGCTTTCCTGGTGGCCCTATGTGAGCTTTTGTAATGAATTTGGAAATAAGTTGGGAAAGGGCTGGGAGAAGTGCAGGAAGAGGGAGCCGATGGTCAAGAGAGGCAAGGTTGGCTGTGGAGACATCTTATGTTGCTGCTCTACACCAAAATATTTCGGGGGTTCTACTGGGGAGGGGAGGTCTTGCAAAGAGGCTCACTTAAGGAGGTGGTGGTTGGCCACCATTTTAAAAATCATATGCTCAGGTGAAGCGCCAGGTAACCATCTCTTCTTTGGCACATGCCCAGATCCTTCCAGCAACACTAGCTATAAAGCCCACCCCCCTCTCCCGCTGATGCAGCTGGGTGTGGGCTCGCACCCTCCTTAACCACTCCCAAGCCCTGACAACGTGCACACCACAGGCAAGCTGGTCCACCAAAGGGTCATCTCCGAGAGGCCACGTGGATGGTGCACTTGCTGAGAAGGTTGGGGGACCCTGACCTTCCCCCGTCACCAGCCTGGCCCACCAGCTGTGAATTTAGTCTCGTTCGACCCCCAAGGTGACATGGTCTTCCCAGCCACATTTTCAAGTGAGCCTCTACTACTATGTGCAATTAGCTTTGCTTTAGTTTACGAAGCTTGAGGTTGGTCTGGTGTTACGTGTGTGCATGTGGGTGGCGGGCGCGGGGTGGGCAGTCGGTGTTAGCTTTTCGGTTCAGCAATGTTCAGATTTACACGAAATCCCCTTAGCAAGGATTTCCAAACCTCCTGGCTGTGAGGCGGCCTTGCTCAGTTACTGTTACTGACTTCTCCCTCAATAAAGACAGGGCCAGGGAATAAAATCGGTAAGCGAGATTCTTATTCTCTGGAACTTAAAAGTCTTTCACCAGAGGTGTCGTCCAGTGTAACTTGGCGGTGCAGTTGGGATCTGTAAACAAGGATAGCACACTGAGAACTCTGTGCAAAATCAACGTAGAAGCGGATTCGGTATCGGTAACAACGTGCCAGACAGAGATAAATTGAACGATCCCCAAAACAGCCATCAGCCACCAACAGAGAGATACTGCTGTTTTGGTATCCATCTTCCTTTTTCTAGAATCCTCCACCCCTAATGAATATCAGTTTCCTGGCCCAGGAAGTCAACTTCTGTTTCTAAGTCCAGGGTGTTTTCAGGCACAGGGACATGGGGGAGTTAGGGGTGGTTGGGGGCAGTTTCCTAACACACAGGCCAAATGCTTGTGAGTCAGGGGCTCGCTTGGCGTCTGACAGTCAGTCAGCCAGCCCCGCGGACCTTGGAGGCTGGAGAACGCACATGGGTCAGTCTGCTGGTCTCGGAGCTTTTTCCAGACCAATCCCAGCATGCCACTCAAAAAGCCTCGAAAACCCAAGTTCCCAAATAAAATCAGGATTTTCCTCTAGAGAGCCAAGCCCGTCCCTGACTTATATGAAAAGAAAAAATGCTCACGTTGAGTCATGGAACTGGTACATGATAGATAGAATGGAAACCGAGTTGACACACGTAAAGTGGTTCATGCATCGGCTCTGAAAGAAGCATGTCGCTATGTGTGCAAAGTAAACGTGGGCATTGTTGGAAAAACAAAATGATGTCATTCCACAAAGGCAAAAAATGTAAACAATGATAATTGTGCTGCAGGTCTGTTTGGCATCAGATAGTAACCCCTCTCCTTTTTTTATGGGTGTGGGTTCCCGGTAGAGAAATGGTAATGGCTTCAATTTCTTAGGACGTCTGTTAGAAAGTGGGGATGGTGAGGGTGGGGCGCTTGGTGCCTATATGGGGACACACAGATTTGAGGAACTTGGGGAAGGGGACCTAGGATGCCAGAAAAAAGTGCCAGGGCTGCTTCAAAATTCTGTGCTTTTCACAGGGCTCCTGAGGGTGAGGGTTGGGGGCAGTGTGTAGCAAAGACCAAAAGATCCACACTGGCTATAGCAAGAGCAGCCCTCAGGACATCTGGGACATTGTCCTCTAGGACGAGTTTGTAAGTGGCGTGTCTTCGTGCGTGCAGAAAGGGGGCGGGGGGAAGTATGTAAGCATGGCATGCATTCTAGCTGCGAGGGGTGTCGATGAAGCCACCGTCTTGCAGGCCACATCCCAGAGCAGTGTGTCCCCGTCGAAGCTGCTCCCCAACACTGTACACTCCGAGGCGTCCTGCCAACACATCACCTCTTGATACTTACAGTCCCGCCATTGAGTACCACGGCCATTTCAGTGGGATGGTACACGTTGCTTCTGAATGGAGCGCTGGGTCTGTTTCCCAAGCTGCCATTTCGGAATCCCGCCGTCCTGAGAGCTGAGGGAGGGGCAGCAACACAACACAAATGTTTTCTCCCAGGGAGCTCTGCTCCAGGCACCCACCAACTCCTCCCCTTTGTCACAAGCCTGATGCAAAACAAAAGTCACAAAGGGGCTTTGTTCCTGGGCTCTGTGTGGGGCTAGGGAGTTTGTGGAGTTCAGGCCTCTGGTGGCTCTAGGGGGAAGGAGGCCCAGGGTTGAGCTAACTCTTTCCCCGGCGGCCGTGGGCAGGCCTCTGTGACGCACAGGCCCTATGTAGTCCCTATGAAGTGTACCACCACCCCTTCATCCCTGGATGCGCTCTCCCATGCCTGATGGGGTTGTTCTCTGGCAAAGCGACAGGGCAGGAACTGGTCCCTTCTAAACCAGAGTAAAAGGGGCCAACACATGCTAGCAGGTTTCACATCCGGGAGGTTTCTCACGTGCTGGACTTGCAGAGCTCTGAGCTTCCTTTTTCCTAGAGAAAAGCTGTGTCAGAACAAGTCCACACTGGCACCATCTGCATTCTCAAGGACGCACTAAGCTGTCACTTTTCTGGACAAAGAGTCTGAATTGTTTACAAATTGCCAGGGGAGCAGGACCCGGTTACTGTTGTGTTTTGGAGTCAGTTTCCACCCACAGAGACCCTGTATAGGGTTTCTGAGGAGCAGCTGGTGGGTTTGAACCACTGATCTTGTGGTCTAGCGCTTATCCTACAGCGCTGCAACACGACCACAGTCCCCTGATACTATAGGTAATCTTCATGGACTGCCACCCAGGAGCCAGGCAGGCAGGGTGAAAAGTACTTTACAGATAATCATGGAATCTTCTTAATACCTTGCTGTTGTTATTGTTAAGTGCCATCAAGTCAGTTCAGACTCATGGCGACCCTGTATAGGATTTCAGAGGAACAGTTGGTGAGTTTGAAACTGCCAATCTGAGGCTAGCAGTCCAGTGCTTTATTAGTCCTATTTACATGGGACACAGAGAGGTGACGTAACCTACCCTAGGTCTCACACAGCTTGTAAGTGTTCGAAGTAGCATTTGAAAATCAATACAACCAGACAGAACATCTGCTCTTAGCCATCTCACTATACCCACTCCTGTATACTGTGCTTTATTCCATCACAATCAGTCACTTAGAAGGAATTTGCTTTTCAGTGACATTAGGAGCAGCTCCAAGTCCTTGGGTGGAGCAAATGGTGAACACACTTGGATGGTAACCAAAAGGTGGCAGGTTCAAGTCCCCCAGAGGTGTCTTGGAATAAAGGTCTGGTGAAGTAATTTTAAAAATCAGCTATTAAAAGCCCCATAGAATTGCTGAGTGGGAACCTTAACTGCTGTGCAAACCTTCACCCAAAACACAATATTAAACAACAGAAATTCTACTCTCCCAAACACAATATTAATATTAAACACACCAAACCCCTATAGGGCACAGTTCTACTATGGTGCATGAGATCAACACAACTGGGGTGGGGTGGGGAATGCACGTTCCAAGGCATGCTTATGAAAACATGTTCTACTGTAGCATCTCCAAAGAAGGGATGCTGAGGAGCCGTCCAACAACCCTTGGACCATGATTCTTCTCACCCTGAGCCAGAAAACCAAACAGCACAGCAGTTCAGCAGTTAACACCTAGTCTGCGGCCCAAACACTTTTTCTTCAAAGAGACAAAAGCTGGTTGGATTGCCCATCTGTGGAGAGCCCAGCCTGAGGGTCTCTCTCTGCTGTGCCTATCTGTGGCTTTTTTTCTGGGGAACACCCTCTTCCAGCTCTACAACTGCCTTGGAGGAAGAGGACACACATCTGTTCAGCCTGGTCAACGGGAGTCAGAATCAACTTGATGGCAGTGGGAGGGAATCAGGGAATCAGATCTTTCTGGCCACACTGATTGGCTCAGGGAAGGGTAATCGGGTCCAATCAGAGGCAGCCCTGAGATTTTTTTTACTAGAGCATCATGGGAAATTGACCTATTTTCAATTAGGACTCAGTGCAAGTATGGCGCTGTGGGTTGCTAGGATGCTATCACAGAGAAATCAGATCTTGTCATTGAGGCTTCCTTTGTTTGCTGTGTTGTTGCTAAGTGCCCTCCAAGTTGGTTCCAAATCATAGTTATGCTGAATAGCAGGAGGAGTTGTTGTTAAGTGCCGTAGCAACCCTGCATAGGGTTTCTGAGGAGCAGCTGGTGAACTTGAGCTGCCGACCTTGCAGTTCAAATGGCTTTGCAGTGTGGTGCATTAATCCACAGTGCCACACCAGGACTCCAATCGCAGGGTTGGGGAACCTTTTTTCTGCCAGGGGCCAGTCAGATATTTATAACATCATTTAACATAAATTTATGTTGTTATGAAAAAAGCTCCAAGATTTATTGAGTTTCAAGTCCTACCTGCCATTGCCTTGGCTGGGCCAGACTAAATGATTTCGGATCAAATTACTTCAGCCAGATGTTCCCCACCTCTGCTTTATGGGGTTTGAGAAGAACTGTTGACTTCGCGGTTTGCAGTCCAGTGCTGACCTTACAGTGCCATACCAGGAGTCCTGCTTGGGACAGTTTTGTTTGCTTAGGACAATTCACATTGGATCTGCTATTTCTTGCAGCTTCAAGAAGTCAGACTGACTGTCTAGCATGCCACCCTGATCCGGGTCAGCTCTGAAAAGCTGAGCATGCTCATTTATAAAGAAGGGTCACACCCCAGCAATCAGAGTCTGTAACTTTCTCCTGCCTGGCCAGGGTGGCCCTCCTGCAGATATCCACGCAGAGCCTCCCTCTGGGGAGCAGAAGGGGCCAGTGTCTAAATAGCCTCAGACCCCCATGAGATCTTTGAGCTCAAACCCTAACAGAAAGAAATAACACTCTTGACTCTTGCTCTTCTGAAAGGTGAACCAAAATCTCCTTGTTAACGGCGTTTCCAAGATGTGATGCAAGGTGTGACATCCTTTGGTATATTTTAATCTTTTATCACATACCTCGTGCCTTGTTGAGGCTTAGTTCTGAGCAGCAGGCTAGTGAAGTCCCATAGCTCTGTGGGGTCTCACTTGGGAGAAGGAATTAGGGGAGTGGAGGTTGTTGGGGCTTGGCAGAGCCCCAGATCAGCCCAGGCATGCCCTCTTCTGTGATACTCTTTAACCCGGTCAGCAGAGCAAGGTTTTCTAGAACAAAGGGAATCCTAACCAGGACTCCAACCGAGTTGTCTTTGTAAGCCTCCAGAAGCAACTGGTCTTGCCTGAGGCCTGCCCTGCCTGGGCCCAGGTGAAGTTTGGTCCTTTCGTTTTTTTTTAAATTTCCACAAACAGAGACATGGAAGACCCCAAACAAGGCCACTGGAAAAGAAAGGTTTAGCAACATCCAAGGTAGTTGTGTTGTTTTTAAGTTGCGTCGAATCAATTCCGACTCATAGTGACCCTGTATAGCGTTTCTGAGGAGCAGTTGGTGAGGCTGAACCACTGACCTTGCAGTTGAAACCGACTTTGCGGTCCAGTATATTGTACTGTAGTGTCACATTGAGTTGACTCGGACCCATGGGATTTTTGATGGCTGATTTTCCAAAACATTGCCAGGCCTTTCTTCAAAGGCACCTATGGGTAGACATGAACCTCTAACCTTCTGGTCAACAACAGAACATGTTAGCTGCAAGGCTGATGAAGAGGTGGGGAAGTAAGGCTCGCCTGTAGCTGTTAATGGGGGATGGTAAATGCGGTCACCTTCCTGGGGACAGTCTGACAGTAGGGCTCAAAAGATTGAAAGTGCAACCTCTGCCCCACATTTAGGAATTCTGCTGCAAAGAATGAACTGATTTAAAAGAACACAGATGAAAGGGCATGAATGTTCACTGCAGGGTTGTTTATAATTGTTTGTTGCTGAGTGCTGTTGAGTTGATTTTGATTCACAGTGACCGAACCCAAGTGACTCACAGTGATCCCACAACTGCCCTGTAGGGTTTTCCATCATAACTGAAGCAGATCACCAGCTCTTTCTCCCACAGAGCCGCTGGTGGATTCGAACCGCCAACTTTTTGGTTAACAGCACAACGCTTCACCATCGTGCCAACAAGGATTCTTGTTTATAACAGTGCATCCTGGTGTAGTGCTGGGGGTTAATGTGCCAGACTGCAAAGCCGTTTGAACTGGAAGGTCGGCGGTTCAAGCTCATCAGCTGCTCCTTGGAAACCCTAAACAGGGTCACTATGGGTCAGAATTGACAAGATGGCACTTAACAACAAAAACAAAATCAGAAATAAGCAAATAGTACCCACCAGGTTCACAAGAGAAATACCTGGTGACCTGCTTCTATAAAGGCAAATGCTCTAGAACAGCTCTACTTTAATCACACGGGGTCGCCCATGAAGCTAAATCGACCCGACAGCATTTCGTAACAACTCTCCAGCTGATGATCAGAAAAATAATTGATCGTTCACCATAGAAAGTTCCACATCATTAAAAAGATAATGCAGCCCTGCCGTCATCACTGACTGGGAAAGGTCTCCACGGTATGAAATTGATTAGCCAGCACAATGCAATACCACTTAGACCAGGGGTTTCCACTGGTTACGCCGGAGCATCACCTGGGGAAGCTCAGACTTAGGGAAGCAGACGCAGGCAGGCATCTGTACGCTCTCTAAGCAGGCAAGTGATTTTCACATGCAGCCAAGGTAAGTCAGTACACTCCATTGTCAATCTGCATGTGAGTGTGTGTGCAGAGAGACGGGAACTAGATCGTGGCATTTGTGCTTGCTTGAAACTTCTACGTGATCATCATCCATCCTTCATCATCAGAAAGGAAAAACACAGCTACTCTTTTTTTTTTTTTTTTTTTGCAGCGGGGAAGAAAGAAGGGTGTGAAAAAAATAACTCTTTTGGCTTTCGAATATGTCTGAGTGAGAACCAAATGGGGGTGCAGACCCCATCTCCGCTCTTACCGCTCCCTTTGCAATCCCCAATACTGCTGTACCAACCTGTGGTTGCAGGTTTATTTGATCCCTGGATCTTAGGTAGACACAGAAGTATTATTTGCATTGTTCCAAGAAGGATGCATTTAGTGATATTCTGAAGAACAGTTCTTCCCTCCCGGCTCTGTTGTCAACATGGTGCCTGATCACAGAGCCTTGCTTTCCTTCCTTTGTCAACTGGTCTAATATCTCCGTGTCCTCCAGAGGCACCTGCTGTCCTCACACTATGGTGCACTCTCAGTACTACTAGAAGAGGGGATAATTCTGTGGCCTCTGGGGCCAGACCGCTGGGGTTCGGAACCTGGCCCTGTCTTTGGACAGCTTACTCAGTTGCTTCGCCTGCAAAACGGAGATGATAAGAGTGCCTAAACCTACCTGGTCAGGTCATTGTAGGTATCCAATGAGATCATGTGTGGCGCTGTGGGATAAAGCACTGGAACGCAATGTCGGTTTGAACCACAAGGTCAGCGGTTCAAATTCACCAGCCGCTCCTTGGAACCCTGATATAGAATCGCTATGAGTGGAAGCAACTCGACAGCACTTAACGACAACGAGATCCACAGCCTACAAGGCTCAGAATGGCCCCTGGCTTCCCGTCACCACTCAGTAGAGACCAGTCTAGTACCCAGCTTCACCAAGAGTCAGGTCATCAGGCTTCAACAACGCAGGTTCTTGACCTCCCTGGGGTCACAGATGATGCTGAATATCGGACAAAGTGACAGACCAGTTGTCCAGGAAAACATGAATGTTAGTCAGTTTATTTCTGGAGTTCCTGGAATCTTCTCAGCCCAAGAGGGTCCCAGGAATAGGCGGTTCCACCAGACCCCAAGGTTGGGCTAGACTCCTGGTCTCTGCTCAACACACCCTCTGTAGGGCTCTTGGGCTCCCAAAGACCACACCCATCCTGACTCCCTGCCAATCTCCTGGTAATCGAGGGGCCCGGCTGACTGATGCTGACACTCACACTAAACCTGGGTGTTCTGGTAAGAAAGGAGCAGCTCTGATAAAGGTCATGCCCTCCTGTGGGTCTGGCCAGGATGTAGGGTACCTGCAGGTGGGAAGGAGGGCTGTGGGTGGCCTGGGAGAAGCTGATGGCTGATGTGCTCCCCACGGCCTGCAGGGGGCGAGCAGGCTGTGCACTGAACCCAACAAGGTTGACTCTGCAGATGGCAGGCACCTGGGTGGACTCATTGCAAAAGAGATCATGACAGTGTGGGATGGGCCACATCCTAGTTGTGTACCTTGGGACAGTGATTTACCATCGTAGGGCCTCCACTTACTCATCTATAAAATGGGGGCAATCGTGGTACTTGCCTTATGGAGTGGTTGTGAGGACTAACGAGATAATGCAGGTTAAGTTCTAAGAAGAATGTCTGCCACAAGGTGCTCCTAAGGAGTGCTGGTGGCACAGTGGCTCAGGTGCTTGGCTGCTAACTGAAAGGCTAGCAGCCTGACCCCGCCAGATAATCCAAGGGAGAAAGATGTGCCAGTCTGCTTTCATGAAAATTACAGCCTTGGAAACTGTAAAGGGGCACTTCTATCTCTGTCCTAAAAGTCACTGTTTGAGTTGGAGGTGACTTCATGGTACATATCAACTTCCTATTCCTGAACGGTCCCTGGGTACAAATGGTTGGTACTGGATCACTACCCTAAAGATGGGTGATTTGAATCCACCCAGAGACAATGCAGAAGAAAGATCTAGCAGTCTATCTTTGTAGTGATCACAGTCATGTGATCCCCATGGAGCTCAGTTCTACTCTGTAACACAGGGTTGCCATGGATCAGAATCGACTCCAAGGCAACAGTTTGCTTTTACATTGTTGTTGTTAAGCGCCATCAAGTTGGTTCCAACTCACAGAGGCTGGTGGATTTGAACTGTTGACCTGGCAGTTAGCAAGCCGGTGCTTATCCTACAGTGCTACATAATATTCAGATAATAATTGGCATTGTTTTTTCTTATTGCTCCTATTATAGGAAGGAACCCTGGTGGCACAGTGGTTAAGCACTCAGCTGCTAGCTCCGTGGGAGACAGGTGTGGCAGTCTGCTTCCTGGTGACGATGAAAGCCTTGGAAACCCTGTGGGGGCACGTCTGCTCTGTCCCGTAGGATCACATGAGTCAGCACAGACTCCACGGCAGCAGGTCTGGTTTGGTTTGTTATTGTCATTCCTGAGAAACCTTTGGGTAAATTCTGGGACCCTAATCTACCCTCTCTAGTAATGACGCACCTAGAATCGTCCTGGAGCGGGGGACAGCCCTGTGCATTGAGACAGTACTGCGCTCACTGTGTGTGTGGGTCACCCCCAAGCAAACTACCTACACCCGAGCCCTCATCTCAGACTGTACTTTCACAGGAACTACACACAATGCACCAGCTTCTACAGGGCTTTACACTCGCCATGTTAGTGCTCACAAACCTCCATGAGAAAGATTCTCTCATTTCCATTTCACAGATGAGGAAAACTGAGGCTCAAAGAGAGAGAAAGTAATTTGCTCAGAGTGCTGTGGGATAATGCATTGGTCCACAAGATCTGTTTGAACCGCAAGGTCGGCAGTTCAAACCCACGAGTTGCTCCTTGGAGACTCTATGCAGGGTCACTGTTAGTCGGAACTGACTCCATGGCACACAACCAACCACCAGCACACATCTAGGTGACTGAGGTGGGGAGAGGGACCCTCACAGGCCCCTGCATCCATCTGACACATAAGTTTCACATGCAAAGAGTTCCAGGGAGCAATAGAGAATGGTGAGGAGTGTGGAAAACAGAAAGAACATCCCCACTTAAAGGGACAGTCATGACTGACTCTGGGAGGGGTGAGAGGCAGGGTTTCCAGGCAATGACTGCCTGGGATGGATGCCCAGCAGTGCTGTACCAAAAGAAGTCATTGAATTAGTGGGCAATTGGTTATAAAAAAAAAAAAATTCCTTCTCAGGGCCGTTATTTATGGTCCTGGGGACCGTGTGCCTGTACCGGAAAGGAGCAAGTCCTCTGTGAAGCACGGCCCCGAGTCTGCCCCAGGGACGAAATGCACCTTACCTGCATTGTGCTCATCCATCGAGAAGGCCTTGTTCTCCATGTAGGTCCGAGGCAGCTGCACATCCTCCTCGAAGGCTGTCTCCCGCATCCTGGGCTGTGATGTGTCGAAGTAGTTGGGCGTGTTCTCCTGCGGGGCTGGGAGGATGGCACAGTGGATCTCGGGGATGGCGTGGAAGATGACGAAGACCCAGCCGCTGGCCACCAGGGTGATGGCCAAGGTGGGGTCCCCCCAGGTCTCTCCTTGCCTGAGTTCGGCGTTGCCAAACAGATACATGGTCATCCAGGCCACCCAGATAAGCACAGAGAGGATGGCCGTGACCAGGATACAGGCTCCGTTCTGTTTCCACTTCTTGAACTTGCCGCACAGTGTGCCGAGGGCCAGCCCCAGGGTGGCCACCAGCAGCACCATGTCGTAGGTGAGAGCCATGACGAAGTCCATGGGCTCGTAGGCGCAGGCCGGCCTCGCGTCACGCAGCACCGTCAGCACGAGCCACTCAATGGCAATGATGACCTGGACCAGCATGAGGCACAGCGCCACGGCCGCCAGCTGCCAGCCGGATGGGCTCTTGCCATGACGCACCAGCCTCCGCACGCGCCACGCCTGGCCCAGCAGGCAGGAGAAGCAGAGGGCGAAGAGGACGCCCCATAGGAAGCGGCGCACCGAGCAGATAGTCTCGTCCTCTCGGATGATGAAGGCGAACGTCAGCCCGAAGAGGCCCAGGGTCCCCAGGAGGAAGAGGAAGTGGAGGACCACAGGGTCCCTCTTCTCCTTGTCCTTGATGAACGGCAGCCGCACCAACAGGATGAGCAGCAGCAGCAGTGTTATCAAGGCACCTGCTCCGGCCACCGCCTCCACCACGATGCCCCAGATGGTGTCCAGGTCGCACAAGGAAACGTACTGAGGGAGGAGGTCCAGCCCACAGCCCCGGGACGTGCTGGCGTTTTCTGAGGCCCCGGAGGCGATCACGAAGAGCAGGAGGAAGGTTAGGCTGTAGTGAGCTCTCATCTTTCTCTCTGAGGTGACCAGCAGGAGCCAAAGTCCAGGAGAGCCACCGGGAAGGGGAGAGAAAGACCAATTCATTGTGAGTTTCCCATCTAGACTTCTTTACAAGGCCCACCGAGTTTCAAACCAACTAGCCCACATGGAGTCCTGGTGTGGCGCCGTGGGTTAATGCATTGAACTGCAAAGTCGGTTTGAACAGCAAGGTCGGTGGTTCAAGCTTCAAGCTCACCAGCTGCTCCTCAGAAACCCTTTATAGGGTCGCTATGGGTCGGAACTGACTTGACAGCACTTAACAACACGGAGAACCCTGGTGGCACAGGCATTCGGTTGCTAAACCAAAAGGTTAGTGGTTCAAATCCACCAGCCTCTCCTCCTCAGCAGAAAGATGTGGCATTCAGATTGAGGAGACCGGCAGCCTTAGAAACACCATGAAGCAGCTCTCCTCTGTGCTACAGGGTCGCTATCAACCAGCACTGACTCGACAGTCACGCTTTTGTGTAGCCCACGTGGCATTAGGAAAAGGCGTCCTTCACTCTAGGCTGCGCAGCCCCCTCACGGGGCTCCCATCTGACCCTTGGCCAGAGCAGTGAACTTGCACAACTGCAGGAAAAGAGACTGCGGCTCGCAGTCCCCTGCATACAGGACCTGAGTTACAAACTCAGACAAGTTTGAGGAGCCTGGGAATCTGTTACAATGACTGGGCAAGAGAGCAATAGGAAATGGTGAGGAGTGTGGCAAACAGAAAGGACATTCTCACCTAAAGGGGCAGCCACAACTCTGTGAGGGGGGATGTGGACCCAGCAGTCCCCTTCCCACATGGTGGCCTCACCAAGGTGGCTGGAAGACAGGGGCTGGGGAGGACTCACCCCCATGTACACCCATCTGTATTCAATGGACTTCACATGACGTGCCACGTCCAACTTCTTAAAAAAAACTAAGGATTCTGTGTCAAACTCTTAATAGTAACCACAACCCTTTACACAATCAAGTCTGCTCCTTACACCTTTCCTAGGAGGCAGGTCCCATCGTGGTCTCCATATACAGATGACTGAAAGGTCTCCAGGAGGGTGCACGATCACATGACCAAAGCCTAGAAACAACCTAACACCCCTCTTAGAAGCCCTGTAAGTGTTCTCAACTGAGTATGGCTAAACCCTCGTCATTCCCAGTCCAAATCTGTAAATTCATTCACTTGCTACCATGTGTTTGTAACCCGCAAATCAAGGCTGGACGTACTTCTGTGGTCATTTGCAGATACCTCTGGGCACGCGCAAAGCAATGAAAACTCTTGAGTCACTGATGCCCACAGCTGGTCCAGCATCCTCTAGCTCCTGTTCACTGGACCTTGAAGTACTGCAAATGCGGAGTTATGACTACATCCAATATGCAGGACTATCCTGGCCACTCTCACCCTTGTCCCCTGCTCAAGGTGGTCCCCAAACAGCAGTCATGACAATGACTTAACTCAAGTCTCATCGCCCTTCCTGGACCCTCTGTTTGGCATGGGAACCCAGAGGTCTCAGCTCATGGTCCACCTGGATCCCTCATCTGTTCCTTTCTTAGCTGTCATCACAGCTGTCATTTTTCACCTGTGTGCTTTGTACCTCCCTTCCTCTCCTCCTTCCCTAGACTCTCTCCACTGTCCCATGCAGACGGCATGACCTTCGCCTTGTTCATCAGTGTAGACCTGGTTCTCACGGTCTCAGCACTGCTGACATTTGGGGCTGGATCATTAGGTAGTTCTATTCAGTGAAGCCACATCTCTGGCCTCCATCCACTACTGCTGTTGTTGTTAAGTGCCGTGGAGTCGGTTCTGACTCAAAGCGACCCTGTTTCTTAAGAGTGGCTGGTGAGCTTGAACTGCTGACCTTGCAGTTCAAACCGACTTTGCAGTCCAGCGCATTAATGCACACCACCACACCAAGACTTCCCTCCACCCACTAGATGCTGGTAATAGGCCTTTGCACATCAAGACAACCAAAATGCCTCTAAAACAAACAAAATCAAATCCACTGCCAACAAATCCCAGGAACACTATATATATAATAGGGTGTCTGTGACTGTAAGCCTTTACGGGAACAGACATCCTCTGATGAGGGGTTTGGACATCAACCTTGCAGTCAGCACTCCTCACAGCACTGCCAGAGCTCAATGTCCTCTGGGATAGGTGGGTGGGCAGCAAAATGTCACGGGTTGGAAACAAGTGGTATAGGCTCCAGCAATAACCGCAGCTCCCAGTGTCCCTAGGCTTCTTTAGGTAAGGGCAGTATCGCCCCTCCTTGGGCCAGGAGGCCTCGGATGGGATACGTTTTTCATGCTGTTGAAGGAGAAGGGGCCTACACAGGGGGAAAGCAAGTGTGTAGTTTAAAAGGAACTTTATCCACAGTCTGGTCTTTGTCCTTGGTTTCTGAGAGATAACCTCTAAAACCCTGGAATTTCCCCAGAAATTGAAGTGTCTTTGATGAGGCCTCCAGACCACACCTACCTGAGGTGAATGGGATCAGGTGCCTCAGGTGGGGGCTGGCCAGCCAGAAAGACCCACCTGAGTGATAACCAAGCACCTCAGGGGTGAGGGCTGAAATTTGAATTATGCAATGAAGTCCCCCCAGAAACCCTGGTGGCACAATGCTCAAGCACACAGCTACCAACCAAAAGGTCAGCAGTTGGAGAAAGATGTGGTAGCTCTCTATTCTACAGGCAAGATAATGAATCAGAATCAATCCTTCTACAAGCATCCCAGACCTTGGCCACTGGCCCAAGACTCAGCCACTATTTGCTGACAGAATGCTCGCACTTTGTTATGGCTACTATTGTAGCCCCGCCCTCACACATCTGTGTATTTACTTCATTGGCTCACTCCAAGGAAACTTACCACATCAAGATACTTATCTCTAAGATGTTTAAATGGCTTGCTGACCTAACTCTTATTGCACACCCATATGGAAAAACATTGTCCTGGAGACAGCTGTTTATTTGGCATGCTGGGATAGAAACTGAAGAAACTGGCTGCTTCTGAACAACATGCTATGGTATAGGGACTCAGGTAAACTTCCCTCATACATCTATCTCAGCAATGACAAAGGCAAGTACAAGAAACACCTTCTATGAGCCCTCTAGAGCACACAGCAGCTAATCCTATCCTGAGGGTGGCAGGCAGGAATGTGTTTCTGCAATCTGACCCCAATCAACCCTCCCATATACCCCTAAGGCCACTTCTCAACCAGGGGCAGACTTGACACCCAGGGGGGATATTTGGCAACAGTTCAATGCTCACCTAGGAAACCCACCCAGAGACACTCAGAAGAAAGGCTGGGTGGTCTGCTTCCAAAAAGCCGCAGCCTTGAAAATCTTATGGAGCAGCTTTACTTTACAATGCACCATGGAACCAACTCAACAGTAACTGATTTCGTTTTGGTTTCTTCAGACATCGTTTGGTTGTCCTAACTGCTGCTGGAATCTAACTGCATGGAAGCAGTTAAACATGCTGCAATGCAAAGGACAGCCCCCAACACCAATGGGTAATCCATTCTGCAATGTCAGCATGACGAGGGTGACAAGGGCTGGTCCAGACACTGAAACACAGGGTTGATAGGGAAGACGTCAGGAAACCAGCTGGGCCTCTCAGCCTCAGGTCCATACCCCACATTCCTTTCATAGAGCTATCGGGACTGGACTGGGTTCCCCCACCTGCTTGTTCCAACCACAAAGAATCCATAGGGATGATGAAACACCAAAATGGTGACCAAGCTTCTGAAATTGTGCAGAGTTCTGGACCGTGTCCAGGTTTCTCACTCCTGCCAATTTTCTGACCCCGGAATTGGACACACACTTGCTTTCTTCTGACTTTATTCCAGAAAGTGAAATCCTCAAATCCCCTGGGAACAGTTGCTTGTTGCTACCCATCCTCTGCGTCTTCCCTCCCATTTCTGGAAGAGCCTTAGCTCTTGCGCATGGGCGCTTGTTTCAGGCCTGGCCAATCAGAGCATTTGGCCTGGCCAATCAGAGCATTTATCCCGCCCTTTGCTACGGTGGTTGGTTTACGGGCAGGCACATGGCCTGAACCAGACCAATGGAAATTATCCCTAGGATTCTTGTTAGAATTAATTGGGAAGAGGTCTTCTTTTCACCCTGAGTTGATAAGCTAGAAGAATATAGTTGTCACGACAGGGAGTAAGCCTAAAAGTAAAACTCACCTGGAGAAAACAACTAAGTGACAGACCGGAGTCCCAGTAATCACAGAATGCCTGGCTTCAGCCAGCTGGAAGCAGGACACCTGGGTCTTTGCAGGGGTTAAACACTGCCTCACGGCCTGAAGCTGAGTCTGACTTTAGGGTTTCTGGGCATTCAGAATTGTCCTGCAGGATTGTCTATTAGTGCCATGTTGTTAAGTGCCATTGAATCAGATCAGACTCATAGCAACTTTGCGTAGGATTTCCAAGCAGTGGCTGGTGAGTTTGAACCACCAACCCTGTGGTTCAAACAGACCTTGAGGTCCAGTGCATTATCCTGCAGCGTCACCCCAGGGCTAGCAAAAACAACAACAAAATCCCAAAACATTAGTTTCCACTGAGACAACTCTGACTTATGGGGTCCCTATATGTGTGGTTATGAATCGAATCGGGCTGTGAACCTCAGGGACAGCAGTTCGAAACTACCAGCTGCTCCGCAAGAGAAAGATGAGGCTTTCTGCTCCCGTAAAGATTTACAGCCTCGGAAATCCTGTACAGGGTCGCTGTGGATCGGAACACCAACTCCACGGCACACAACCATAACCACGTATGACAGAGTAGGACTGTGCCCCGTGAGGTTTCCAGGGGCTGAGTTTTGGAAGTAGGTCATTAGGTCTTTCTACCAAGGTGCCTCTCAGTAGACTTGAACCATCAATCTTTCTGTTAGCAGTTCTTTCACATTTCTGTGTTAACCATAAGAGTAGCAATAACAACAATAAACACTGGTGCTTACTTGTTCTGGGCATTTCTCTGCACTTCACGTCTGTTGTTGTTAAGTGC